ATAGGGAGGCAGGCTCCTTGTTTTATTTCACTGTAATTCTAAACTAACACCTATCAGGGTCAAAATTGGGACCACCATTTGTAATGTTGCATTTCTGTATTTAATAGTCTTGGGAACTTCATGGCCATCCTGAACTGATAATAGGTTTGTAGGAATTGCCAGTATCTAAGAGTTTAAAATACAGTAAGTCCTCACTTAACATCCTCTGTAGATTCTTGGAAACTATGACTTTTGTGAATTGACATGTAACAAAACCAGTTTTACCAGAGGCTAATTGATATAAACAAGAGTTAAGTTCCTACCTTATATTTATGGTCACGAAAACATCACCAAACTTCTAAATAAAGACCTAAAACATTTCTAATAGTAAAAGTTAAAGTAAGTATGAGTTATATATATATTTAAGAAAGATTAACAAAAAACAAGTACAATGGTGATTCCCCATTTTTATTGAATCAGTGAGTGATAGTAGTTGTAGTGGTGCTGTGTTAAATCAACGAATAAATGTTTGCAAAGCAAACATTGTAAGGAGCACCTCCTTCTGCCATGCAGTTCAAACACGTACAACACCCACTGTGGCAGGCTCACTGAACCCTTTTGTCCTGCATTGTTTATTGTACGTTTGTGTGATTATCGCCTGCTTTAACGCATTTTTATTTTGTAAGAATTTGTATTTATTCACTCATTTATTTTCCAACATGTTTATTCCAGGCCAGGGTTGAGGGTAGCTAGAGTCCATCCCAGCAGCTCTGCAAGCTGCAAAGTGGGAATCGACCCTGGACAGGACACCATCCCATTGCAGGGTACACTGACACACACACACACACACACACACACACACACACTCTCTCTCACTCTTTCTCTCTCACATACTCTCTTTCTCTCTCTCTCACACACACACTCTCTCACATACTCTCTCTCTCTCACATTCTCTCTCACACACACACACTCTCACATACTCTCTTTCTCTCTCACACACACACACACTCTCTCTCTCTCTCACATACTCTCTCTCTGACACACACACACACACTCTCACATACTCTCTCTCTCTCACACACACACACCCTCTCTCTCTCTCTCTCTCTCACATTCTCTCTCTCTCTCTGACACACACACACACTCTCACATACTCTCTTTCTCTCACACACACACACACCCTCTCTCTCTCTCTCTCTCTCACATTCTCTCTCTCTCTGACACACACACACACACACTCTCACATACTCTCTCTCTCACACACACACACACACATACACATTCAGATTAGGACCATGTAGACACTCCAGTTCACCTAATATGCTCATATGCTCATCCCACACAGCGTGGAGAGAACATGCAGTCTCCACACAGAGAGTGGCCCCAACCGAGAACTGATTTTTATTCCCCTTGTTAAAGTTATGACCCAATGACATTGAACAAAACCACTGCTGTTTGAGGACCTGCTGTACTACAGCGAAGAGATGCAGAAGTATGCAGCGCTCCTCTAGGGGACACCATCCACAGTGTGTTCTCCATGGAGGTTACATTGTGTTTATATATAATAAAGAATGAATGGCGCCCCCCACAGCTGCATCACGTGTTGAGCATAGGAGCAAACATTTCTTTTTTTCCAGAATGAACAGAGTGTTTACTACATAGTTGCTATCGACCAGCACTGCTGTACAGGCCCTGTACTTTGCCATTATTCATCACTTTCTCTTCAATAGTAACTTCTCCCCATGGATTAGAAAGCAGTTTTAGATCACAGTAAAGTCATAATGCTGAAAAATTATGAACATAAAGCCACCTTTTTCTCCATGGTTGCCTCAAGTGATGTACTGAAGCTTTACAAATAAACCCCTACCCTTCTATGAATACTGTTTTTCTAATCTCTGTTCTACTCTTTATTTATGGTTTTTATTGTTTTTGTTTTTGTTTTTTTTAAGACACAGGTTCTTGCTCTGTCACCCAGGCTGGTGTGCAATTGTGCAGTCATAGCTGTCACTGCAGCCTCAACCTCCTGGGCTCAAGTAGTCCTCTTGCCTCGGCCTCCCAAGTAGCTGGGATTACATTCACTCACCACCACACCCAGCTAATTTTTTATTTTTTGGCAGAGGCAGGGTCTCACTATGTTGCACAGACTGGTCTCAAACTCCTGGCTTCAAGCAGTTCTCCCACCTCGGCTTCCCAAAGTGCTGGGATTACAGGTTCAAGCCAGCTGCAGTCAGTCTGCTCTGTATTTAAATGTTTGCCATGATACATTTCTCTTAAGAAAACTTCATAATTGACATATGTGGATTTAAGACTACCTTCCAGTCTTTAATGTTGTCTATTTCTGAACTAGAAGATGGTATTTTGAGATGTTTTGGCAAGTGCCAGTATTTCAGGAAAATTTCAGTGTTATCAGAGTAAGTTATTTTCATGCTGTCATTTCTCTGATAATATGGCAGTCTTCATGACAGTGGAGGAGTAGGTAACAAGAACATTGATGCATTTATTTAGCAAATGTTGTGGAATACCCACTCTGTACTAAATACCACTGTAGTCCCTATACAGTGTGCCTAAAGATACCAGGGCCTGGGCCTAGAGCTCCCTCTGTTGGGAAGCTGCATGTAGATGGGCCAGAGCGTAGCATGCAGGGGAATGTTCCCAGTTCAGGGCAGCACTAGGGCATCCCACTCTAGGAGGCATAGCCAGTCTCCTTCTAATGAATGTCCTGTATTTTTATTTAAATGCACCAGCCTTTCTTTGAAATTCCCTTCCATTGCAAAGCAGAGGTAGATTACAGACTAGTTTTTATCACGTTGTTTAAACTTAAATGGAGACACAGCAGTTTTCTTTAAAGGTGAAGCACATTCTAGATCAAGGTCTATGGAAAAACTCCTTTTATTACAGGACCAGAAAAATAAAGTCACCAAGGTGCTCAGGCTCCAAAATTTCAAGGAATTTAATCCCAAGGGATATTGACTGACTCTGGGAAGTTTTCAGGGTGTTTTTAATTCATCTGTTTCCCAACATAATCCATTTGTGGTCATGACCTAAAAATTCTTGTGACAGAAAAATGGGTTCACAATTTAGATCTCTGTGTTAGAGAAACATAGCTAATAAAGTCTTCTTTTTTCACCATTCCCTTAATAATGGGGAATGAAAAATTATGACCTTTCGAGTCATATAATTACAAATTTTTAAATGAACCATTTAGAATTTCTCTTCTAAGGATGCAAATTAGTAATCAGTTGCTTTGCAGTGTAATACACTGTAATACATGAGGTTATATTTATATGTGTAATAAAAGGTTTATGATAATGACAGAGTAGAAAATTATACCATAAATCACATTTTCCTTCTTAAAAGATAGCAAATTAAATATGCAAATATTGCCAACTAAGATTCACAAAAGACGCTATCTTGAAATATTTATGTAAAACACGGACCCATTTCACCTATTCATTGTAGTTAAGGTTTAATTTTAGATTATAAGTGTGTTTTGAGGGGACAGATGCATTCTGTTTTTCCCCAGTGACTTATGTTTTATTACAGTATTCATGCTTAAAGGATGTCCAGATAAAATAAAAATGTGTTCATTATTCCAATAATAGACTCCACTTCCCATTTCACCAGTCCATGTAGAACAATATTCAAATATTGCCATACTTTGGCCATCACCATATTAACTTCCCTTCTTTAAATTTGATTGTCTTTCAAATTCTACATTTAATTCACACAGATCTCAGCTTGCTTAATTTATATAATAAAGCATGCTTTTTTTTTAACCTTAAACATTTCTATTTCCCTTTTCTCTGGTAAGCCTTATATAACCTTTTAAAATCGTTTTGGAAGACTTCTATTAGGCTAATAACTTCAGTAATGTTGCTAGTCACCATTGCTACTTTCATTTTTTGTTCTTCTAAAATAGTGTAACTGACTAGCAGAGGACAGTTAAACATCACTCCAGGTTCTGCTAACAGGGGATACTTTGAACACTTCAAATAGTGGTTACTTAAACGTTAATATGAGTATTTTTTCAACACACACATTTCGTTAACTTTTAAAAAGCCTATTATGTAAGTATATCCAAATACATGGGTATTTGTCAGCCCATAGAGAAAAAACACTGAATATTTTAATTATTAGCATGTTGTAAGAGAGGTACTTTTTTTAAAGGAGTAGTAAGAAATCCCTTATGCTGCATACAATATGCAGTGTTATATGATATATATCTAACACCCATAAAGGTAATAATCATGTGAATATTTAAAAACAGGCGTTATGGGATGGGCGCAGTGACTCACACCTGTAATCCCAACACTTCGGGAACCTGAGACAGGCGGATCACTTGAGGTCAGGAGTTCAAGATGAGCCTGGCAGCATTTAGCAGAGACGGCGAAACCCCATCTCTACTAAAAATACAAAAATCAGTTGGGCGTGGTGGCGCATGCCTGTAATCCCAGATACTCGGGAGGCTGAGGTGGGAGAATCATTTAAACCCAGGAGACAGAAGTTGCAGTGAGCCAAGATCATGCCATTGTACTCCAGTCGGAGTGACAGAGCGAGAGATTCTGTCTCAAAAAAAAGAAAAAAGGACATGCATTATTATAGACATGCAACAGAAATAAAATATAATGAAAATTGGACTGTAAATTTCTAATTCCCACATAACATAAATGGTCATCAGTGGTTTAAAGTGATTTATAAAGTTCATGGAAAAATTATCTGAGTCATTAATTGTAATAGTTATCAGCCTGTTCTTCACTCAGAGCCTACCAGATTTGGGTACACTTTAGAAATCTGTGCATTTCAAAGTTGGACTTTATTTTGTTTATTACCACCAAAGCATGGAGTCATGTGATAACCATGAAATAGCACAGTCAGTGCTTTTTAATGATAACCAGGGCCATGGTAGAGCTGAGAAATTGGAATCTGTGCAAGAGTGGAGGATTCGGGGACAGTATTTTAGCATCGAAGTGTTCTGCTCTGTTCGTCTTTGGAAGAAACCTGCCGTCTCTGTGTCTTCACAGGCGAGGAACTGTGCTCAGAACGTAAACAAGGCTGCACCTTGGACTGTCCCTTCGGTTTCCTAACTGATGCCCAAAACTGTGAGATCTGTGAGTGCCGCCCAAGGCCCAAGAAGTGCAGACCCATAATCTGTGACAAGTATTGTCCACTTGGATTGCTGTATGTATTTCTTAATTCAGAAAAGCTATTATGAAGTGCAACTTGGCGAAATGTTTCTACGCATTTTGTTTTATATGTTGTTTGTGAATTAGTCTATGATGTATTGAGCCCAGAATGTCTATACTTGTTAGGTAATTCAGAAAGCGCGGAAAAGGTTGTATCTCCAAAGAAAAGAATCAGATTTAACTCTTATTTTTTATGGAGGTGGGCCAGACACATGCTTTGTGCCTGTTGTGTGAGACTTTCCCATAGGAGAGTCCTTTAGACACTGCTGGCGAGATTAGGAGATGGAATTGTGAGGGCCCAGTGTTGGAAATGTTACAGCCCTTCACACCTGTCCCAGGGTCTGTCTGTGATCATTTATTTAACACATACTCTAAGATCAATTGAAGACCGACCCCCACTCACTTGAAATATAATGCATCCTTACCTGCCATGCCTAGGTGTCTCACCTGGGAACTAGTCAGCGTTTCGTTTTTTTTTCTTTATTTAGTGTTAGATTTTATGAATTTTCTTAGAGATAAGGGTCATGACTTTTGTTATTTTAATACACCTTATTGAGTCAAACTCCATGAGAATCTAGATTATTCCGGTGGGGGAGGGCAGAAATAGACACTTCATATTTGTTTCTTTAGTGTTTGTATAAGCACCTGTATTTGCCTTTATATCAAGTTGATACCTTTAGAAAAATCACCTTAATTTATATTTTTTCCTTTGCTGTCTTTCATTTCAATCTGTCTTTCCAACTTGGTATATTTATGTGAGTGTATGTGAGTGCTAGAAATTCTTTTTTTTTTTTTTTTTTTTTTTTTTTTTTTAGGCAGGGTATTGCTCTGTCACCTAGGCCGTAGTGCAGTGGCACAAGCATGGCTCACTGCAGCCTCAACCTCCCAGGCTGTCAGTCCTCCCAGCTCAGCCTCAGCCTCAGCCTCCCAAGTAGCTGGGACTAGAGGCATGTGCCACCATGCCCAGCTAATTTTTGTATTTTTTGGTGAGATGGGGTTTCACCATATTTCCCAGGCTGATCTGGAACTCCTGGCTCAAGCAATCAGCCTGCCTCGGCCTTCCAAAGTGCTGGATTACAGGCATGAGCCACTGTGCCCAGCCTAGTACTAGTAATTATAAGGGACTTAGACCCGTCATCTCTTCTCATCTTCTGTCAGTCATCCTTTTCATTCTTCCTTTAAAAATTCTAGTTTAGGGAGAGGTCTTCTTTCTAATTTTCATTGGATAATTAAATTGGAAACATTGTTCCTTAAAATTCCCCAGATAAAATAATGAATCATCATCATTCTTAATCCTAAAATATGAATATGATGCCAATAAGAGTATTATTTCTTAACCTAACTGCTAATATAAAATGAAGTAGTATTACCACAATAGTAGCTGCAACCACTTGCTACAGTATCATGACAGTTCAGAATCAAGGCTTTGTTCAAATCCAACCGTCATCTTGGAGAAAAGTCTCTTAGATGATTGTGAATTTCACTTTGTATTCCTGCCGGCACATTCAGGGAGGACCCAGTTGGACACCTTGGACAACTGAATATTATACTGGCTAGAACACATGTTTTAAGGACACATACCAAAAGAGAATTCCTGGCCAGACACCACGTGGGAGTGTCAAGATGAAGGCAGCAGTTGGTGCCCCTTTTATGTAACCTTCTGACTAAAGAATTACTTTATGCATGCAGCAGATACTTCCAGAAAGGAGGGAAGGAGGGATAGATGGATGGATGGATCAGTACGTGGGTGGGGGGGTGGGTGGGTGCGTGGATGGATGGATGGATGGATGGAGAAACAAATGAATAAACAGATAAACCAACAAAATCTCCTTCACTTTCCTATTCATGGAGTTTCACATTCATCTTTTTACTGTGGTGTACCACTCTCCCTAATTAAATCAACAGTCATGTCATTGGGATTCTGAGAGCCACGTCCTAGAAGCGCACAAGTGCTTGGGCAACTCTCAGCCTTGGTCATGAGTGAGTGGTGGTCATGGCCACAGGGTGCTAATTACCCATACCCCAGGAGTCTTTGAGAGCAAAAGTCAAGTCATTCTGTTTAATAGCAATATCACTTTATTGACCCTTGGTCTGAGTGCTTGGGCATCATTTGAGACATTTTGATTTTCTGACCTCTGACAAAATTTTAATTACCCAGGAAGAATAAGCACGGCTGTGACATCTGCCGTTGTAAGAAATGTCCAGAGCTGTCATGCAGTAAGATCTGCCCCTTGGGTTTCCAGCAGGACAGTCACGGCTGTCTTATCTGCAAGTGCAGAGGTAAGTGTGTACACATGACCCTTCCCCCTCAAAGCAGTCAGGGGCACCAAAACAAAGAACAGAAGGACACCCTGTAAATGAAATGGTTTCGGTGATTGCTGCCTATTCTGACACAAATGTCAGTCTCTGTGGGACTGTCCCACAGGACTCCATTTTCCTTTCATTTTTATGAAGTAAAAGCTTAGACTAGAATGTAAAGTAAGCATATGATGGACAAGCACATTGACTAAATTAATCACTTCCTAGCTCTTTTTACTCGTATCAGGAACTTTAGCCTAAAGCACAATTATCTCAACCTCTATAGAGCCTCTCTCTGTTCAGGAGTAAGATCCATAAAATTGCAACAGTAAATATCCCCATTTCAAAGTTCTAGAGGGTGGGTATAGCTCAAAAGTTAGCTCCTGTATTTCCAGATAACAGTTTTCCATGAGAATTTAGCCTTTGGCTGAATAAGCACATGCCAGCCCACAGCTGTGAATAAGCACAGAGCCCAGGTATCCCTGCTGCTTGAGGCTTCTCCAGGGAGATTCCTGAAGCCACTGAGCATGCGCCCTGACCGCCGTTTCTGCCCTTACCCCAGCTCCACCCCTGCTGCCTGTCCCTGTATGTTGTAGTTGTCAGCATGATCCACAGATTAAACTATAAAAGATTCCTAAACTTTGTTTTACGATTTTTCAAAACTGGACAGTTACCACCTTAATGGTGTTTCTAAGGGGTTGGAGTAAACAAAAATCTAGTCACTGTTTTAATTGTTCTGCTGAACAAACTCTGTTATTTGCAAGGGGCCCAGGATGTCCTCATTGGTTGAAGCTTCTAGAATGATTATTCTGAATACATTCAACATATGTGTAACATTTGTTATAAAATCAGTGCTTGTTTGTTGTATAAAATATGAGAAAGTAAAGTAGAGGAAATAAAAAATCAGCGATCATCCTACCAATTGGAGAGAAACTATTTGCAGGTTTTTTCCTCTTTTTTCAAAACTGAGAGCGTATTGACTTAAATTCTTTTCATGAACATGTCCCATATCACAAACTATCCTGTGTAGGCATAATTGTTGGTGGCCAGGGTCCAGTCCATGTACAGACTCCGCAGGCTGTTTCTCCTATGCAGTAGCCACTTCTTTACCAGGCTGCCTTCTGTCTGTCCAGAGGTCTCTGCTTCAGCTGGGCCACCCATCCTGTCAGGCACTTGTCTCACCGTGGATGGTCATCATCATAAAAATGAGGAGAGCTGGCATGATGGGTGCCGGGAATGCTACTGTCTCAATGGACGGGAAATGTGTGCCCTGATCACCTGCCCGGTGCCTGCCTGTGGCAACCCCACCATTCACCCTGGACAGTGCTGCCCATCATGTGCAGGTAAAAGCTGGCTGCCATCTGTGTGCTCCATAAGCAAATGACGTCTGTCTTGCAGGGGCCTAGACACATTTGTAACTCTGGGGAGGTTGGAGGGGACGACCCCTGGAACACTTTTCAGCACTGCGTTGTTTTTGTCAACAACCACCACAGAATGGTCCGGGCACTATCAGTGAAGAACCAAAGACCAGAGAAAATTCTAACATTCTAGAAACAAGTCTCCTTTTTGAATGATTGACTCGGTTATATAAGGTCTTCGGATTACATTTTTGTAAAGGTTTGTGGGCTGATGTACTTACATTCCAGCTTTCCATTTTATTGATAGCATATTAAGTCTGAATGTCCTCATTAATTTGAGGGGATTGGTGCTAGTTTTATCCCATAAAACCTTATCACATATAAAGTAATGTTTGAGAGGGAGAAACTTATTGAAGTCTGTGGCTATTGTTCTTTTATAAATTAGTGGACATGTGGCACTCTTGCCAAATGAAAAGATTTAGAGTTAACACACATCCAAAACCCTTAAAATCATAATCACGGTAATCAAGATAAGTTACTGGAAAGCCAGAACAGATTTGTAATTCAGGGGGGTCTGAATTATGATTGTCAATAACAGTAATTATAACCATAAACCTCATCTAGTACCTTTTATCCAAAGAGCTCAACACAGTCTTATGTCTATTATTTCCCTCTCTGTGCAGGCCACTTTGAGTTAGGGAAAACCACACTGAGGCCGTTTCTCATTTGGAAAACAGACACAGAAAGATGGACTCTTTTACCCAGAGTAAAATAGTATGTCTGCCGAAAGGCCTGGGAGAAATGAAGTCTCTCAAATCTTGTATCAGATTTCTTTCAAAGTTAAGTCTACTGTCAGATTTTGGAGTATGATTGTTTTTCCTCTGGTCAGTCCTGGTCCTGTATCTCCCTGTGCATGAGTCCACCTGTGCAAAAGGTGTAGCTGGGAACCTGAGGCCTGGTCCTTTTGCAACAAGACTAGCCTGGGAGGGAAGTTGACCTTGTTCGCATAATGGTCGGGGAGTCAGGGAGAGGGACACTTAAGTCCCTTTCAGCTCTGAGATTCTGCACAGCTCAATAGCTACAGTATCAGAGTGACAGGCAGCTCCCATACCTTGTAGAAAACCAGATTACAATGCAGAAGAGATGACTCTCTTTATTTTGTTTTGCTTCCCTGTAGTTCAGTTAGAGGTATTCCATATCAGAACTCTTTCCTTTTTTCCCGTATTTTGCTAGTTAAATGTGAAAAACTTCTAGAGTCCCCTGCATAAGAAGGTAAGTGAGGACTTCAATATGATAGAACTTTGTATTGACTCTTTGGGGAGGGAAAAGTCATGTGTTTGCATGGAGACCCCTGCTTTAATTATAGATATGAATTCATAGAGGAGGGATTTGTACCTGGGTCTTCGCTAAACGTCCTCAATGAAGAATTCTAACAGCTAGACTGGTAGAAATGCAAAGACATTAAGAATAGATAATTGACCTAAGAGCTGAAAATGAGTAGAACCAGAAAGATCTTTCTCTATTACAGTGTCGTGGAAAGTTCTTACGTAAGCACACGTGAAGTTGTTGTTAATACCTTATTGTGGGTGTGTCAACATCTGGATATACGTGTATGAAAACACATTTATGTATATGGATGTGTGGAGGTAAATTTTTTTCACAAACCTTTAGCATGTTGCCATATAAGGCTCCTTCTGAGTAGAGACTCCAGAGCTGTTGCATTCACGGACTCCTACTTTAAAGAATATTTTTCTCCCCTCTTCATTCCAAGATCAGCTGTTTTTCTTCTTGGGATACAGGAGCATCTCCTGAACTCTTCTAATGAATATTTACTAAATGATATCGTCTCTGAGATTTTCTGTCATCCATACTCTCTACCTTTGAGTTTATCTTTTGTCTCCATGTCTCTGGCCCCTCTTGTGTTTTGCCTTGAGGCACATCGTGTGGCAAAAAGGTGAGCGAGAAAGCATACCTACAAACACACACATCAGATTTCCTCTGACCACTTCCGTACATGTCAGCATTTAACAAGGCAGTAATTGTCAGTCCTCTCTAAGCCCTTTTTGAAAGCAGTAGGGGAGGCTTTTGCTGTATTCATGTGTTGATACTCTTTGGGACTTTTGTTTCTCTGTAAACCACAAATGCACATTTACCATATTGTTCAGCACAGTTTTCACTGTAATCATCTTCCTCTCTGTTGTTCTTATACTGGAAAGTTGGTTACAGTTGCTTGTGAATGTAAGCATGGATTGATGAATATCAGTTTTCTGTGATAGTCCCTGGGTCTAAGTTCCAGCCTTTTTAGTAATTCCCTTGAGACGAAGCTGTATTAGAAGTTTTTACCCCCTTAACTGGAAATCAGCTCACATCACTTAATTTCATTAGTATTGTTGACTCTCATGCTAACCACCACTTTGAAAGTCATAGCCCCAATTCACTCTTAAGGAGATTTCAGCTCTGAGCATCTCTGCATATATGGACCCGTAATGGGGCGTGACTTCCACCGAGCTCCAAGCATGAGCTAGCCATGATGTCTCCAGACTATTTCTTGGCGGGATTCAACACTGTCAACACCTTCTGGAAGTGCTTGTTGTATTTGGATTACGTGACTATGGTTAATGTCTTCATACTTCTCATTTCCCCAGAAAAACTTCAGGGCAACTCCCAGCCCCTCTTCAGACATTTTCAACATTAAATTCCCTCTCTATCAGTGTCATCTCTCCAAGAGACCAAAACTACCTCTCCTCTGGGGCAGGAAATGATAGTTATCACCAGCCTTCCAGCATTTACCTCTCTTGATGATGTTGTTGCCAAACACATGTTTAGTCTCAGGTGAGGGTTTTCAGACTGTTAATTCTACGGGAGCATTCCTGCTCAGTTTGCTGGCCACTGGTTTAGATTGGGGTGTGGCCTGCTTGACAGCAGGATGTGTTTCCAAGCATAAAAGTACTCAGGATCCCAGAAATAATAAAGCAGATAGGACATCGATCATTTGGATGTTTTATTTAATCTGGATACATATCCGTGATCCAAACAACCATAGACTTGGGTTGCAGTTTCCCTTGTCTCTCCCTGAGCTCTCAGTTTCCTCGTGCGTAAAATAAGGTGACTGTAAGGAATAAATGAAATAACACATGTAAAGTGCTTAGCATGGAAATAACTGAACCACAGCAAGTATTCCGTAAATGAGAGATCTGATTTCGAGACAATCCTGCACATTCACAGAAATGCCTGAAGAGGCCCCTGTTCTCATCTCTAGAGTGGAAGTCCCCTGCCTGTAATTTAATGATCTTATTGAATTCTCTTATTACTGTTGACGGACTCAAACCACTTGAACCTCACATCCTAATATTAGTTCTTTTGCCATTGTCTTCTGTTTCCATGCATGGAATATTTTCTTCACTATTCTCTTGATAAGAATAGAGTGAGATGCTCTTCAGAGTTCATCTTTTTTATCCCTTAAAGCAAACAGCACCAGGCTTTCATGAGTTGGAAAGATTGCAGATGAATAATGTCTTGTGTTCTGATTTTGTGTCATTCCCCAGATGACTTTGTGGTGCAGAAGCCAGAGCTCAGCACTCCCTCCATTTGCCACGCCCCTGGAGGAGAATACTTTGTGGAAGGAGAAACGTGGAACATTGACTCCTGTACTCAGTGCACCTGTCACAGCGGACGGGTGCTGTGTGAGACAGAGGTGTGCCCACCGCTGCTCTGCCAGAACCCCTCACGCACCCAGGATTCCTGCTGCCCCCAGTGTACAGGTAAGCAACGTCATGCCTCGTATATGCTTGGTGGGGAAGGATGCAGCTCTGGGTGTTGTCATTCTGTGGGACCCACAGGTCAGGGTGACCCCCATGTAGGAGTGTGCCAAACCGGGTATCGCATCAGGAACAGCTATCAGCCTGCTTCCTGCATGTATTCTCTTTACCAGCCACCTATTTATGCAGTCAGTGTGCCTCATACCTGAGATAACTGTGAAACAAAAAAGGAGACTGTTTATCTTGCCATTTATTTCCTTAACCCTACATCTCAAACTCAAGGAATATACCTAAGTAGAGATAGTTCCACCGCACCAAATTAACCAAATGATTTTGTTAATGTGAAAAGTCATCTTTGTGTAACAAATGTGAAGAATAGTTATTGATAAATAATGTAAATAAAATTCTTTGAAAAATATAAGGGTGGTGAAGAGACCTTGATATATGCATAATGCCACACTCTCAAACTTGGGATGATTAGTAAGTTAATACCAAAAAGCATTAAGTAAGTAGCACTGCACATGTATAAGGAGTTCTATTATTTTCTACTTTTTATTTCTCAGATTATCTGACCTTAGCAGGTAAATGTATGGCCATGAAACTTATTAGAAGGAAATTTGTCAAGATGTTAATCAAAAGTTACTGGTTTTATATAACTTTAGTAGTACTTTTAATTAACAGTAGATGTGACTTTTTCAAAAGATATTTAAATATGAAATTACCAAGTTGACAGAACAACTAGTTTTCTTGTTGTTGCTTATTCTTCCCATATTTCAACTTAATAACCATTTACTTTCTAAACATATATTCATAGAGCATTTCTGCTCAGCAAAACATAAACCCTTGTATTTTATTACTTTTTTTACATTGGATTATCTGGTCAGCTTGCCAGAATCTGTTGTTCCATTATTATGTGCAGCATCATCAGTGTCTAAATTTTTTATAGGTATATGTTGATGGCATTTTTGGAATTGATAGATGAACTTACAGGGATAGCCACATTACTGGCTGTTGTCATCATGCATGGCAGCCCAAGTATTATCGTTTTAGTACAGAATTGTTAATCTGAGAAGCTTAATTAGCACTACATCTTTTCTAGTATAAGAAATAGTTCATATGTGTTACATTTTTAGGATATGCATGACCTATCATTTCTGACTATGTTGTCATCACAATTTACTCAGATTCAAACCTTACTAATGTTTTTTGTTAATATATAGCAATGACTTTATTTACATCCCCTTGGTAGAAACCCCTTAGAGTGGTCTTTTCCTTGGTGATAATGGATTTATATCCATTTAGCTATTGAATTTACAAATATTTATAGAATGCCTGAATTGAGCTATGGGGATTCCAAGGTTAACGAAAACAGACATGACTCCTGTCCTGGAGCAATCGCCAAAAAAAGAGCCAAGCAATCCAATATTCCACATTAAGTCAATAATGATAAAGTAAGAGGTGTGCCTTGAGAGGGAGGATTCAAGAACATAGGCAATCCGGGAAACTAAAGCAGCAAATACCCCTAGTGCTGTTTGTGTTAGGATCTGAGTGATGAACTTAGGGGTTGACTAAGGGAGTGGCACTGGGGGAGGAAATGCCTCCAGGACCACTGGCCCAAATTCATTGATGGGACACCTTACTGAACTCAGAGTTTCAACCCGTACAGAGAAGGAGAGCTACGTGGAGATGGAACCTCTGAGTATGCTAATGTGGGTGGCATGTGCAGAGGCCCAGGGGTTCTAGCCAAGCAAGGCGGTGGTATTCCTGCATCCCTTTCCATCTTTCCAAAGAACAGGCAGCCCCTCACGTGCCTGGCTTTGACTTCTCATTCATTAACTTAGGCCTGGATGTTTCTTTACCTATAACTAATGGATGTTTCTGGACTTTCTCATTCACAGTTGTATTGAGATACAAAAAAATAAAAAGCTTTAAAACTCAAATTATCAATTTCTTCCCATCACAGTAATTCTCAACAGTGGCATTGATAAGCAGCATATTACACATATAGAAAAATACCATCTCTAATCTTAGGACACTTGCATTCTAAAATGGCCCAAAAGGCATAGCTCCACAGTGTGATAACAGCTTACGAAGGGTCGTATCCCTCATGCTGCTTCCATCTGTGGGATGCCCTGTCATTTCCTCTCTTCAGCTTTCCCTCTTCTCTGGCCTGGTTTAAAGCAAGGTCTGGTAAGGAAATGAGGAAAGACTGCACATCACTGCAAGTGAAGCTTATTTCACTAGCATACAAAAGGGAGAGGGTAAAATAGCACTTGTTTCTTTCCATAATGTTTAAAATTTTCTTTCCTTTATTTTTAGAGTTGGAAAAAAGGATGGCAGAGAAGGGAGAGGGAGGTAGAAAATAAAAAGAATAAAGGAACACCAGTGAAAACACTGGTAAAGATCAAATAAAGGAGTAAACATTTGGAAACAGAAGTGTAAAGAAGCGGGCCTAGAGCAGGAAAAATGAGAAAAGAGGCCCAAAGAAGGGAGATGCTATGGGTAAGATTCCAAAAAACTGTCAATCAGGGTTTGATCAGGAACCTCCTGCCTGGTGGAAGGAAACCTGCAGACTGCCTCGGCTCCAGCCCTCATGCCATCACTGCCAGCATATGCTGATGCCCTCTGGGTTCTTTCCAGGCCTCGGTGAGAGCCCTGCAGATTCCAGGCTATTCACTTCACTGTCATTCCATAGCTTCCTCACTGCTGTTCCTGCTTCCTCTTTTCAGTTTTTAGACACAAGGTTGGAAATGCTTGCATGAGCTAAGTTAACGTAAGTCACAAAAACCTCACGGAGATTTGCAGGGCCTATTGTGAACAAGAGGGTATTGTCCTTATTTCTAGCCAAAGCAGAAGTTAGCACTGGCCAGTCTCTTGAGGAAGAAATTATCCCTAGACATAGGTAACCACAAAAAGGTCATTGAGAAAGTCATCCTGTCTTGCCATCTCTAACCTATGTGGATGGGATCTGTGGAATCATATCTGAAATTGGACCTGGAGTACATATGGAGCCATGGAACAAATGGCTGTTCTTCAACTTATGCCTGCTGCCTTTGGGACTAGTCATAGGAGATACGGTTACCCAGTTTAAAGGAGAGGGTATGGGCCGATCCCATTATGCTGGCTTCTCTGTCTTTCGGAGAAGGTCCACAATGAAGTAACTGCCTTGGTCCTCAAAAAGGCCCTTCTGGTCACATCCTACTTACTGGCTGTAGGGTATATTCATGAGGTGGATAGAAGGAAAAAGTGACACGTAGAGCTTCTGGATCATGTGCTAACTACATGTCTCAGTTGTTTCTGGTTCTTGGCTAAAAATAAGAGTTCATGAAGTTGGTTCTGGGAAGAACAGACAACTCTTTCGATTGTGGACGCATTGAGAAAATGTGGCCCTCTTAGAGGTTTGCTAGTTAGGGCTGTCGTGGCTGTGTCTAGACTCTTGAGTGGTGAAGTTGATTGGAAGTGCTCTCTTATCAGTGGGATTATGACATTTCTAAACTAGAAACCACACCCACTTACATTTTCCTTTCTGATATCTCAGTCATATTGCTGCCTGAAGTTACAGTTTTCATTGATTTTAGTGGAAACCAATGCCCAAAGTGATATCTGGATTTTCTGGTGACATTTTCTGTTGCAAGTTGTAAATAGATCTGGGGACTTTCAGGTCTCAGTCTTTAAATAGCAAAGAAACAGATGATTTGCACATGATTTCTCTGTGGTTGCATCCTTATGAGTGATTGAGATTTCTTATCTGTCAGCCATTAATGTGAATTCCTGAGCATTGGAATGTTGCACATAGGTGGGTTTTGGTAGTCTGGTACAATGAAAATTTGTCTGAATATTGATTGGTCAAAACTGCATGTGGCCGCAAGTAAGAAAAAACCCAGCTACAAATTTTAAGTAAATAGAGGTTTATTTTACATATATGACAAGACATTTGGAGGCAGATGTTTATCAGCATTGATTCAGTGCCTCATTGGGGTCAAGGCCTTTCTCTTCTGATAGGGGTGTCACAGCCGTGATCAACACACTCCTATCAAGGCAGGAAGAATGTGGAAGGATGATGGCAGAACATATCTACCCTTCTTTGAAGAAAGTGAAAGCTTTCCCAGAAATCCCCTTGTTAGCCATTACGTCCCATTAGCTACAGCTAGATGATGGGGCCACCTCCATTTCAAGGGAGCCTAGGAAAGCAGGGAACAGGATTGTCCCATTTACTTACATGCATTGTAATCGAAGTCCTGGGACTACCCCAAAGAAAACCAGGATTGCATTAAGCTAATGAAGAAAGAGTGGATGTTGTGTAAGCAACTAACAGAATAACTGTGACAACTCTTTTTTGATCTTTGTTATTTTTAAAAATTTAAGACCCTTCCTGAATCAGCCTTTCTGATTTGTTACTGTGTCGTTTATTCAGGGAGGCACCCAAAGCCATCATGACTGGGTGTGCTGTGAAACACACTATGTTGCATAGTTGCTGGCCAACAGCAGCATCTTTGCTGACCTATATGTTCATTTTTCCAGATCAACCTTTTCGGCCTTCCTTATCCCGGAATAACAGCGTACCTAATTACTGCAAAAATGATGAAGGGGATATATTCCTGGCAGCTGAGTCCTGGAAGCCTGACGTTTGTACCAGCTGCATTTGCATCGATAGCGTAATTAGCTGTTTCTCTGAGTCCTGCCCTTCCGTATCCTGCGAAAGACCTGTCTTGAGAAAAGGCCAGTGTTGTCCCTACTGCATAGGTAAGACCAAGAAAAAAACATCTTTCAACTGTTTTTTTTCCTGCTTGACATGTCACACAGACGCAGTGTAGCAACACTGAGCAGAAGAGAGGTATGGAAGATGTACTCCCAAGAGGAGGTGCCTTAAGAATAAAGAAATGAGGCCAGGCGCGGTGGCTCACGCCTGTTATCCCAGTACTTTGGGAGGCCAAGGTGGGTGGATCACTTGAGGTCAGGAGTTCAAGACTAGCCTGGCCAAAATGGTGAGGCCCCATCTCTACCAAAAATACAACAATTAGCTGGGTGTGGTGGCACACACCTGTAATCCCAGCTACTCCAGAGGCTGAGGCAGGAGAATCACTTGAACACGGGAGGCGGAGGTTACAGTGAGCCAAGATTGCGCCACTGCACTCCAGCCTGGGTGACAGAGCAAGACTCCATCTCAAAAAAAAAAAAGAAAGAAGAAGAAGAAGAATAAAGAAATGTTCTCTGAGAATGTCATAATGTTATAGCACTGTCGTGTTCTATCGGGCTCCTTTGCCAGTTCAGGGTTTTCAATTTCAGAACTCTTTCTCCAGCCTATTTTTTACAGTGTTTTGTTTTTTTTGTTTTGTTTTGTTTTTTTATAGACAGAGTCTCACTCTGTCACCCAGGCTGGAGTGCAGTGGCTCAATCTCAGCTCGCTGCAACCTCCGCCTCCTGGGTTCAAGCAATTCTCCTGCCTCAGCCTCCCTAGTAGCTGGGATTACAGGTGCCTGCCACCTCGCCTAGCTAATTTTTTTATTTTAGTAGAGATGAGGACAGTGGTGTTTTTTTCCAGATAGAAACACCATGTCTCATATTAGAGTCCACTTAGTTTATAAAGCTTGCTGCTGCCTTGAGATCAACTAAATATGACATATTAATTTAATCTCCCCGTTGTTCCTGTCTTCTGGCACTTAATGGATTCTGTTTCAGCCACGTGGTTGTCCCTGTCAATGGCTAGGCACACAGAGTGAGGCCTGAGTAACTCTAGAGCCCTCTCCTTGTGACCCATGGTGATGATGCATCTTTGTGAGCAGAGGATCTATGTATATTAGCACCTAACATTTGGGCCAAAACTAGTCCTATGGACATAAGCCAGATGCTGTTCTGAGGCCCAAAAGGTGAGACAGCTGGCAGTTCTATCAAGGACAGCCCCTGTTCCCTAGGCTTTCACTCTCTTTTAATGCTTTTGTATCCAGTAAAGCTCAAAGTCAAATGAAAGACGGTGACATGTTTCAGATAGTGAACCTATAATCAGAGTAGCAAATGAAAAATTTTACAGTCTGTACTAATCACACATATTGTACATTTATTGTTGGAGATTTTGCATGTTTTCTAAACACAAGTCATTGCATATATCTGGAGTGATAGATGGGGGAATAAAGGAGATCTGGCTACAGAGTTTTGTGGCATTTCCCATAGATAAGCTGAGGAATGGCGGCCGTAACTCAAGCTCATGAGGACATCTCCCTGTCCTTGTCTTGGAACCTCTGGCCACTAGACAGGGCCGCTCTGAGTCTTTTACTCTGCTTGTTGGTATATGAGATGGAAATAGCTGTTCTTAGGAATTTTACACAGATTTTCTTACTGTAATGGTCAAAGAGTAATAGAAGTTCTGTTTTAAAAGCTAGATGGCCAAAGAGTAATAAAAGTGTCTGTTTTAAAAGCTAGACCCTCTTTTAATAGTTACCATCCATATAATTTATTCTTCAAACCATGGTGCTTTTGAGAGTGAAAAGGGGGGCTGTTAATAATTCTGATGGGACAATAGTCATAGATCAGGAGTGTCCCAAGCAAACTGGATATGTGGTAGCCCTGCATTTTAACACCAGCTTCTCTGTGCTGCCCGTAAGCTTTCTAGCTTCTAAGTAGAGCCAAAAATGTATCAAGGCATATATCCAATTTAGTGCTACTTACTTTTCAAAGAGCTGATCAAAATTCATGCAACAAAATGGCACTACATTTGGTGAGATCTAAATGAAAGCTACAACTAGGCTACTATTTAAGGCTGGGTAAGGGGGAAATATAGCCAATATCCCCATAGTTATATATCAAAACTTTTTTCTTTTAGCTTTTTAAGTTCAGAGGTACAAGTGCAGTAAAACTTCCATACTAAAGGAAATGGTTCACAAGTCAACCAGGGATACTTGTGTCATATTTGGGAAACCAGGGACCTGGAGGTCTGAGAATTCCATGTTACCTTCAGAGGAAAAACGTAACAGCAGATCTCTCACGTGTTGAAAATTCTCAGATTGTTTTGTGTAAATTTATTGTTGTGTTTTGCTACTTAATTGGTAAATTCGTAATTAGTAAATTATTCAACTAGTAAATCTGTTTTCATATGATAATCATCTCTCACAAAACCAATTTAAATTCAAATGTATGAAGAGAAAATTCAAAATTATGAATAGAAACTTTCAAATCATAATATTATTTAGTCTTTTTTTATTTTTTATTTTTTGCCTTCCTACTTGCTATTCCAATTCCTGCATCATTTAGATTATACATTCTTCATTGGTGTAGGAAAAAAAGGACCAGTTTGGCTCAAATTTGTGATTTTGATTTTAAGTTGGAATGCAGCACTTTTGCTAAATTGTAGTTCATATGAGCTCATAGTGGTATAGTGGACATTTTGATTCTGATCTATCTATCTCCACAACTCCCCTCCCCCTCCCAAACTGATGCATGTGTAATTTTATCATACCTATGACTTACTTTCAGGGGACCATGTTGGGGAGACTTAACGTTTAATGAACTATAACCGTGTGCCTTAGTCACTCGTTCATCTTAATAATTTATATGTGGTGTTGTGTTATTGAAATAGTCATTAAGCTCTCTTCTGTCTGCATCATATTTACTTTACAAGTAGCCTTGTTAGATAGGCGTTCATCCTTTCTCTTCTATCCCTGCTATGTCTAAACCTACAAAGTCAAGTTCACGACTATGATATAGGGATTTCCTGTCTGACTCTCCAGTTTGCATTTGGGCTTGTTCTCTTATCAACTAAGAGGTCCTGACTTCCAGGACCTCTATATAAGGGTCCCTATATAAGGGTGCCAAGCCTGGCCAGCACAAGCCACCCAAAGGCAGTTGCCAGCTGTGCTTCATTGGCAGAGCCTTTATCACCATCCAGAGATCACTGAGCAAAGGAAAAACATGGAAACATGGTCAGGCGGCGTGTCTTAAAGCACCCAGTTGTTTGTCCAGTGGGCACCAAAGACCAGTGCTTGCGTTGTTTCCTGTTTTAGGCTTTCTCAGTTTTAACCCAGATAATCATCTATTCTCAGGATCTTGTGTATCTCGCTGTTAGAATGTACAGACTATCTCACCCCAGCCTACAGTGCTGACCTCACCTTGGCTGTAAGGCTCTTCCGTGGATGAATGTTCTCCCTAATGAGTCAAATACAGATCTCTAAAAACCTCAAACTCACAATTAAGGGACCTCTTTTATTAGTGATCAAAAAAAAAGTTTGCATGTGAAGTATCCTTTGTTCCTACTGTAAGAAAAATGAAAAGTGGTGATTCTACCAAAAGTAGTTTTCTGACTACAAGTATTTGTGTTCCTTTTGTTAAATTATCAACTCACTAATGTGCAATGATAATGCTTCTCTTTTGATGTGTGAAGGCCTCATATTATGTGTGCTAATTTAATAGGATATGTAATATAGACATAATTAATAGGATTGATGATTAATTCTGAAAAGTGAACAGCTTTGTCTAGTTTCTTATAATACCCATCATTAGGGAATTCATTCTTCTGCTAGAAAGAAACTAAGTAGTAATTACCCATTCATTTTAATGGAACATCTTCTGATTCCCTAATTGTTTTGTACTTTGGCTTTCTATGTAAATACATTCAAACTTAGATTTTATTCTCATAAGCTGACTATAATGAAGGCTTAAAGGATGAAGAACAAGAATCAAAAGTTGACAAGTATGAATCAGGTGGAGATAAAAGGTCTGAGGGAATTCTAATGGGTGAAAAGACATTTGATATGTGGTTCCTTGTAAACAGCAGATGCCTCTGTTAGGACATGCTTAGCCATGCAAGAGTGTACTGGTTTCTTTTTTTTTTTTTTTTTTTTTGAGACGGAGTCTCGCTCTGTTGCCCAGGCTGGAGTGCAGTGGCCGGATCTCAGCTCACTGCAAGCTCTGCCTCCCGGGTTCACGCCATTCTCCTGCCTCAGCCTCCCGAGTAGCTGGGACTACAGGCGCCTGCCTCCTCGCCCGGCTAGTTTTTTGTATTTTTTAGTAGAGACGGGGTTTCACCGTGTTGGCCAGGATGGTCTCGATCTCCTGACCTTGTGATCCGCCCGTCTCGGCCTCCCAAAGTGCTGGGATTACAGACTTGAGCCTCCGCGCCCGGCGAGTGTACTGGTTTCTAAAGCATCCCATGGCCATTTCAGTGATTACATGTTATATGCCTTTCTCAAACCTTGCTAGAGCAAAAATTATTTCAGTGCCTCAATGAAGTCTTCATTTCATGACTTCAAGGAGGATAGCAGACAAGTACATTAGCAGCCCTTACACCACACCACTCATGTGCCTGTGGGAATATTTATATCCCCTTATGAGCCCTGACCACATCACCCTTGCTCTGATGTTCATGTTGGTGATGCTTCTGCCCATACTGAGTACCAGACTCTGGCAGCTTCTGGAGGGGGAGCCATGAGTCTTTCAGTAGAACCTCCCTGTGTCCAGGGGTCAGTCATTCCTGGTCAGATATTACAAAGAAAGAGTACGACTTTGATGATAAAGTCTATCTTAAGTTAATTTCCAGGATTTTCAGGCCCACTTCACTGCTGCATCATACCTGTTGGCTTTGGAAATCAAGATGCTCAGGTATGTCCCCCAATTAGCCCACTCTAGGTGATCAGGACTGATGTTGAATAAATAGCTCGTGTGTTGGCCAAGTCTTAAGTGTTAGTAGGTAGAACATTGTTTTGAAAATTATGACTTGGCAAGTATTTGTTTGTAACTGTGTTATTTTAGAAGAT